GTCTCTAGAACTGAAAATTCGAGGGCAGACGTTTTGGAAAAGTTGGCAACAGCTTCTCAAGAAAATCTGGACTAGTTGATCCCCATGGAACATCTGGCGGAACCATCTGTGTGTATTGAGAATGAAGAAGTTTTTCCTGTGCAGAGTCCATCAAGCTGGATAGACCCCATCGTGGAGTATCTTCAGAACGGAACTTTACCGAAAGACAACAAGGAAGTAGCAAAGCTGAGAACTAGGTCAGCTAGATTTTCCATTTTGTAGGGAAACTTGTACATACGAGGTTTTTCAACACCACTTCTCAAATGCGTGGGGAACGAGGACGCAGATTATATACTCAGAGAAATTCACGAAGGAGTCTGTGGTAATCAAATCGGAGCTCGAGCTTTGGCAGGAAAGACATTAAGGCAGAGGTATTACTGGCCCACTTTGCTCAAGGATTCAACAGACCTGGTCAGAAAATGCAAGGCTTGCCAGATGCATGCCAATATCCCTCTCAGTGATAAGCCCTTGGCTGTTCCAACAGTGGGATCTAGATATACTAGGGCATCTTCCCACTAGTGTGGGACAATGCAAGTTCGCCATTGTAGGGGTGGATTACTTTACCAAGTGGGCAAAGGTAGAGCCCTTAGCAGCCATTACAGAACAAAAGGTTCAGAATTTTACCTGAAAATCCATAATTTGTCGATTTGGGATCCCCAGAGCAATTGTGTCGGATAATGAGAAGCAGTTAGACAACTCGAAGTTCAAAAACTTCTGTGCCGAGCTCGAAATAAAGAACTACTTTTCTGCCCCAGCTCATCCTCAGTCTAATGGACAAGCAGAAGTCACGATCAGGACTATAAAGTCCGCCCTGAATACCAAGCTAGAAAATCTGAAGGGTAAATGGGTGGAGCACCTCCCAGAAGTACTATGGGCTTATAGGACAACCACTAGGTCGGCAACACAAGAGACTCCATTTGCTTTGGCTTTCGGTTCTGAGATAGTGGCGCCTGGGAAAGTTGGGCTCCCTTCACTTAGAACAGAATTAGCAAACGAGGAAAACAATGATAATTCTCTTCTGCTAAGTTTGGATCTATTGAAAGAAAAGAGGGAGGCAGCACTAAACAACATAAAGAGCTACCAAAGGAAAGCAGCTAGGTACTACGACAGGAAGGTCAAGCATATGAGGTTCAAGGTTGAAGATCTGGTGCTGAGGAAGCTTTTGCTGGCAAGAAAGATCCCACTCATAGGAAACTAGGGCCTAACTGGGAAGGTCCATACATAGTCTCTTGAGTGATTAGATCGGGAAATTATGAGTTACAAACAGAAGAAGGGAAAGTCATGCCCCATTCATGGAATGCAGAACATCTTAGGAAATTTTTTCAGTAAGTTTGTCTTGTATTATAAACCATTGTAAAAAAAAAAAAAGGAATAGCAAGTCTGTGATTCATCTATCCTTATGAGCACGCAAAAAAAAAAAAAAAGAGCCCTGGAGCTCAATATGAACTCATTAGTTTATTAAAAGAGTCTTAGAGCTCACGGTGAACTCACTAGTTCATAAAAAAAGCCCTGGAGCTAAGTATGAACTCATTAGTTCATAAAAAGAGCCCGGGAGCTCAGTATGAACTCATTAGTTCATAAAAAGAGCCTTAGAGCTCAGTATGAACTCACTAGTTCATAAAAAGAGCTCTGGAGCTCAGTATGAACTCATTAGTTCATAAAAAGAGCCTTAGAGTTCAGTATGAACTCATTAGTTCATAAAAAGAGCCCTAGAGCTCACGATGAACTCATCGGTTCATAATAAGAACCTTAGGGTTCGCGATGAATTCATAAAAAGAGTCACAGAGCTTAGAAATATCAGAGATTACAAAACAAAAGACTTATTCAAATCACAAATCGTTCACGATATGCACCAAATATGATAAAGTTGAGGTTTTCAGAACATCAGCAGTTACAAGGAATCAATCAGAGCAAAATTCCTAGTCGTCTCTCCAACTCAGTTAGCTTCTCCTTCAGATGAAGGTTCTCCTCTTTCAGCTCATCCATTTCCTTCTCACTGATGACAGAAGATCCATCAGTTTTTACCCAGCAGTAGAGAACAGAACTTCCCCCAGGCCAGATTTTGAGGTAGGGGAGGAAGAACCATCTCTCTTGCGCCTCTTTGAAGGAGCTCTAGTGTCTTCGCTTTTATCAGATTCTGAAGAAAAAGAGTCTGGTTCAGGAAAATAAGGAAAGTCTCGCACAGCCACAACAGCACTAAACAAGTATAGATTGTCTGATGTCATGAGCTCAGAAAAGGACATGGGCTCAGCTTGGGTCATTAGTTCTGTCCACATCAATTCAAGCAAGTTCAGGTCAGGAACACCTGTACACAAAAAAAAAACAAGATAAACAAATAGCATCATAAAAATTTGATCCCAAGAGAGGGACCCTCGTCACTCTCACTTGGGTAAGATTAGCTCTTCCAAGACCGAGGGACTCTACACTCCCTAGTGCCCACCTCGGAAGACCTCCACGAGTCACTTGAAGCAAAGAAGAAGCGCTGGGCCCATCCCGAAGGCGGAGAGGGGAGATCAAACACTAAGCGACGTAGCCTGAAGTCTCTCCATCGAAAGCGGACGAAGCATGAAACTTCATCCTCCTCAATGTCAAAATAGTAAAGAAATTCTGGAACTGTAGGAAACTCGTCATTATCTCGCAGACGCCAGAAGAGGAAGAAACTGGTCATGACAACCCATCCCATGGGTGAAAGACGAGAGGGACACAAGCCGATATAGGCCAGATTAAATCCAATAGAAGGATGAATGGGAAGGCGCAAACATAACTCCAAAGCTGCTTCAAAGAAGCATGTCTCCCTAGGAGGAAGGTAATTACAGGGTTCATCGGAGCTTGGAGCACGTAGAGGTAACTCCAAATCAAGAAAGAATTTCTTTCTTATCCTCTCTAAATCAGAGGACGTCACCATTGAGGGAACAAAGTAGCGAGTATGCCACATTCACTCAACCCCAAAGGAGGTTCACTCTTAAAATAGAGCAGAAAAAGGGGCAGACATAATGGATTCAAGCAAAAAAGAGAAGAGAAGGAAATAGAAGGCATTAAGCCCTCAAGAATAACAAAGGGATACCCGGAGGAAAGTGATAACCAGTACTTATAGAAATCCTTTGAAGACCCCAGATTTTTAGGAAGTTATTAATTACATGAAACCTTAAGTCGGTAGGTCTCTAGGTTTTCAAATTAAGGAAGCATGAATCTTTTCGGTAGGAAGGATATGCATTGAAAGCAAACATCAACAACACTCCGGGATAAAACAAGCAGACCTCCAAAGAGGGGTCCAGAACATTTAAGAAAGGTCAAAACAGACCCTTGCAATTCAAGAGTTCAGCGAGTCTGAGCCCCGAAGCTCGGAACATTGGCTCAAGAGGACAGAGTAAGATAGTATGCTCTCCACCTCGTGTAATTAGAGCGGCTGAACTCGCAAAATAGGGAAGAGAACCTGACCAATGGCTACACGTGCACATATCCCCTATGGCTTGCCCAAGGGACCCCTCAAACCGGGTCGGTGGTTATTTAGCCCTGGCAACCAGTCAGCACCTAGCTAGTCTGCTGCGCATGAAAAAGATGAACCCTCACCATGGGACAAGAGGGAAAAGTCTACTTCTTTCCAACATGATAAATCCTGACCTTTGGATCTGCCACACCAAGGCAACAGTTTGACCCATGATCCTGTTTGTCTGTCAAGGTCAGCTATGCAGGTTAGCCAATGAGAGCTCCATAAAGACAAGACTTCAAGTACTCCTTGTCTTATATTTCAAACAGCTAAAAACTAGACCCCTACTATGTATGCAAAACTGGTCATGCAAATCTCCTATCCATTTGCTGAGAGAGGAAAAGGGTTGAGAAGATTGCACCACGCAGTAGAAGTTACATAGTTGCATTCTGGTTTAAAATTGTCACAACCATGAGTTGATAAGTTTAAAAAATTGGCTTTGTATCCTGAATCTTTGAGGATGAAGTAAGGCTAGAGCTCTGGTGGTTAGTTGCTGGAGTTCGGACAAAAGCAGGGTGAGGAGCTGGAAGCTCAGCTAGGCACATTAGCAGTTATTCCTAACCTTTTTACTTCAAGGAGATCTGAATGACCCCCTAAAGCCAAGGGGGAAGAATTGAGGAATATCATATTTGATAAATGATAAAATAAAGCAACAAGTTGGAAAGCAAAGGGAAAGAAGAGCCGTAAGCTGTAAATTAAACACAAAATGTTACAATTCTGAAATAATTAGCCCAAAGCTACACAAAAAAAAAACTTGCTCTCCATCCTAAGTTTCTGAGGGGGGAATAAAGCCAGATTTCTGTTGATCAGTTGCCGGTGCTGGGGCAGAAGCAGGTTCAGAAGTTGGAAGCTCAGCAGAAGTGATGGACAAATCAACAGAATTTGGGGAAGATCCAGTGAGGGGAGTTTCTGAATGTGGGGCCTCTATTGAAGGTAGGAGAACTGAAGTCTCAGTGGCAAGGTCAGCAGGGGAGGGGAGCTCGGCAGCAGGGACGTCTGAAGAGGCCGGGGGCTCACCTTCACCCACTAAATAGGGAACAACCCTATAAATACTATGTAACGCCCCAAAGGAAGGGGAGAACCCTAGAGGCAAAAACTAGCCATTGTACTCTTGCAATCATCATTATTGAAAGACAAGGAGCAAGAGTCTCTATTAAAGAGTGGATTAGCCAAGCTCTCGAGCTGGGGAATCACTATATTTCTACTGTGTTAATTCCTACAACTCCCCGACAATTCTCAGTATCATTCACTTGAGTCTAGTAGCTCAGATCCCAACAATTCCAATATTGTTCCTTTTATTTACTCGTCATCACAAATTTGCTTCACGTTGAAATACGCCATCAATATTTAAGGGCATTCCTTATTTTTTTGGGCAAATTATGAAGTCTAGCTAAGAGCAGACAACCAAGGATTGCAGTTGTTGAAGGGCTCTGTTCAAGACAACCTCATAACCATCGCTAAAATTGTTCATTCCTTAGGCCATGAGTTGCCAAAATAGTTCACCAGCATATGGACCGTCACTTGTTGCACAACTGTAGATTGCGTTATATACGTTCCCAAAATTGGAGTCCCTCGCACGCAAACTGTACCAAGCTGACCTTGAAGACTTGCCGAACTCAATCACCAGGAATGGTTTCCCAAGAACTGATTTGGAGTCTACGATATGGGCTCGAATCCACCTATCCATAAAAGAGAAATTTGAAGGTCTGTCTCCCTATATGTATTTGTTTGCACTTATGTCTGCTAAGAAAACTTATTTGTTATGAAGTCTATTTTTTTTTTTATCAATTTTACCATAATATCCTTTCCCTTTAGAAGTGAAGTAAACTAAAAATTATAAACTCTTAAATTTTAGGAGTTTGTTTGACTAACATTAAAAAATCTAATATCTATCTATATTAGGACTCTCTCTCTCTCTCTATACACACACACACACACACACACACATATTGTAATATTAAAAATAAAAAATAGTAACATTCAAATACAAAAAAAAGTTATAATTTAAACATAAAAAATAATACCATTTAAACACAAAACAAATAATAACATTTAAACATAAAAAATAGTAACATTTAATATTAATATTTTACAAAAAACAACAATAATAACATGTTCATTCAATATTAATATTTAAAAAAAAATAACAATAGTAACATGTTCATTCAATATTAATATTTTAAAAAACTAATAATAGTAATATGTTCAACAAAAAATAGACAAATGTTCAACAAAAATAGTAATATGCTTGCAAAAATAATAACATGTTTAACCAAAATAGTAACATGTTCAACAAAAAAAATACCAATATTAAACATTGAATAAAATTGAAAATAAAAATAGTAATATTCAAACCTATAACCAAAGGAAGAAGCATCTAAGTTTTCAAAATTTTCATTATTTTTTGCATTCCTAATTTCAAAATGCGATTCAATGTTACTAAATTGATTTAGGTTTCAATTTTTTTGGATCTTTTGTTGTGCAATATAATCGAAAAATGCTTGATTGTGTTACTTTTGGAAAAAAAGTTGATGATACTATGAGGGAAAAAAAATATTTTTACATATTCGATGTCTTGACATTCACAAGTGGTGATTAGTGTCCTAATTCCACTGATGATTATGTGTTACTACTCTAAATAATGTAATTTTTTGATTTGTAAACCCTATTTTGTGAAAAAGTAAGGGAAAATTATTATTACAGTAAAAGAAAAAATATTTCATTGATGTTACTGTGTAAAAAATTATCTTGTTAATGTTACTACGCAACATATATCCTCTTCAATTTTGTTAAAGTCATTGGGTTACTGTGCATAAAAATTTGATGTTATTATGAAGAAAAAAATATATATTACATTACGGTTTATAATTGTTATAGTGAAGATTTGTATTTGTTATTGAATGAGAAGATCTTCTTCTAATGAGAGAGAGAGAGAGAGAGAGAGATAAAATATAAACTTTAATTTAGGAGTAAATTAAGAAATAATAATTTCTAATTTAAGAAATTAATTTAAAGCTAATTTCATCTTTAAGGTATTTATAATTGAACACAATAAGAAAAAAATAATTCACTGATGTTACTGTGTAAAAAAATATCTCGTTAATGTTACTATGCAACATATATCCACCTAATTTTTGTTAAAATCGTTGGGTTACTGTGCATAAAAATTTGATGTTACTGTGAAGAAAAAAATAGATGTTTCATTATGGTTTATAATTATTATTGTGAAGGTTTGTATTTGTTATTGAATGAGAGGATCTTCTTCTAACGCGCGCGCGCATGAAAGAGAGAGAGAGAGATAAAATATAAATTTTAATTTTAATTTATGAGTAAATTAAGGAATAATAATTTCTAATTTAAGAAATTAATTTAAAGATAATTTGAAGGTCTTTAAGGTTTCTATAATTGAACACAATAACACTGTTAATGATATTTTTGGGATTTAAAAAAATAGTGGACTTAATTACTTATTAGTAAAATAAAAAACGGACTTATCATCAAATAAATTTTTTTGATGAACTCAAGTCATTATAAGTCCATCTAATTGGACTCGGCCTCAATTCTCACTCCATAAAATTAGCTTGGTCTTGATCATTTAAACCAGGCATCCTGCCATCCCCTGCCTGCGTACATCAAACCAATATATATTATTAAGGTGAGTCTTATGGCTCGTATAATGAATAGAGTAAAATAACACAATGAGTTTCACGTCATTCCTTAAATGTTATACCCAGTTATTTTTTAGGGCAAACTTCACTTTATCTCCTTGTTGTGTACCCCAAAAGCACATAGTCAACATAACCCTCACATGGTTGTGGACTAAAGTGCATTGCTAACTATGTTAACATAAAAATTAAAATGACCTTACTAGCCCTATCTATTTCTTCTTCCCAAGCAAACTTCTACCCTTCTTACTCCCTTGCTACCGTTTCTATAAAACCCTGCACCATCCCCCGAACAACCCGCAACACAAAACTAACTTCATGCCACTAAGACCTTCCTCCTTTCCATATCAAACACCACCATGAATCAATTGCCAATTAATTCAACATAGAGTTAGTAGAAAAATAATCAAAAATTTCAATAGGGACTTCAGCCACACTTTTACAAAATTTGGAGTAGAAATTTTTTGAATTTTTTAGTAGAAATTTTTAAGAAAATTAATTGTAGAAAATGAACAACGCAGTTAGCAGGAAATAGGAAGAATTGCAATGATCTACAACCTAGTTAGAAACCCTTCTTACTCCTCTGTTGATCATGGGCTTGATTGGAGTCAGACCTTGGTGTAGTCAGCCCCCTTGAAGGTGTGAATTAACAAACACAAATTTCTATTACTACAACAATTACAATAAGTCCCAGCCTTGCCATTATTATAAAGATTGTAAAATGCACTTGACTAAAGGTGGCACTCTTCGCTACGTTCCCATTGGTAATGGTTGGAAAAACAAGCGTCTAATGACATCAAATTCCACCACCGCCGATGTTGTTGCTGCTGTCGTTAGCAACATCTACTGTGAAAAATTGTGTGTATGTGTGTGTGTGTGAGAGAGAGAGAGAGAGAGAGAGAGAGAGAAAGGGAGAGAGATTGGGGGTATGGGTGTACGTGTGGGAAATTTTTTCATTTTAAAATAAATTTTTAGTATAATTGATGGTGCTCGAAATCATTTTACCCAATTACAGAACAATAAGGGGGTGTGGCCCAGAAGGGCTTAGTGTGTGCTTATGACAGAGGGAAAGTTGAGAGTTGAAGTAGAGACATGAATGTGAATGGTTTACCTCAGACAAAGGACTGAGGCTACATCCCCTGTAAAGGAGAATCATGCTCCTTGAGGATTATATTACTTGGGGAAGAGTGTAGTAGTTACAAAAGGTTTGGCTGGGAGCCTTTTTCGGAGAATTTCCTAGGTTGCCTCTAATATTCTCTCTTTCCATCTCTCTCTCCTATTCTTTTCTCTCTTTTGTTGTATCCTACACAGTACTATCGTTTTCCATTTACACATCTTGGTATTAGGGTTTTCATAATACTTTTTCTTTTTTATGGCTGATTCTGTGGTCCCTTCCTCATTTGTCCTATAGTTGAACTTGTCAACCTGACATTTTCTTTGCCCACTACCTCCGGAATGGACTGAGGTATTTCCACCATCGACGAATATTCGTTCGTTAGAGTTGTCAGCATTGTCCCCCTGTCCCTTGTTCACGTGGCACGATTGGGGTTTTCTCAAACTCCTGAGCAGACACTTATCGCCGAGCTCGTTGGAGCTGACCTAGATTCTTATCTAGGCTAGACGATCCTAGGCTTTTTGTGGAGCTGGGCGGTGGTCCAGCCTGGATATGGAAGATGCTATCTAGAAGAGCCGTTTGGATTGTCTTTTGATAAGCCAATTGCTAGCTTTGAGCTCAAAAAGGGGCACAGACTTAAATCTATCATCATCAGTTACCCCTCAGCCCCAGGTCAGGAGGATTACCTTTCAGCCTTGGCCTGGGGTTAGAAACGTCTTTTGTCGTAATGATTACTTCTACGGGCGATAGTTTTCCATAATTATCTGTGTCGCCTTAGTGGCGTATTTAGTTTTCCCATATTTGCTCTGATGGGAGAGACGTGCTAGGAAAGGACACACATCGCTTGTGGAGGGCTTCTCATGTACATCTTCTTCTACACGTTTTCTTCCCACGTCTCATCATGGTAATATATGCTATGTATAAAAAGGGGAATCACCTTTCATTTCTCTCGATATTTTGAATTGTAATCTTTTTGCGCTCCTTCTATCTTCTTCGGGACTCTAAGGCGGTTGCTTCTAGTTCTCGGTGGTTATAAGAGTTCTGGGCTTTTCTTTATTTTGTGAACCAGCCTTAGCTCCTTGTTAGGTACGTTCTTACCTTCTTTCTGGATCCCTTTAACCCTCCCTAGTAGGGCTACGAGTTTCATTTCATTATCTGGAGATTTAGCTATTTTCGAAATCACTTCGATAGTTTTGCTTTTCTTTTGCGATTTGTAGATTATCCTTGCTTAGATCCTATTGTTTATTTCCTCTGTTTTGATGGATTGCACCTCACATCTGCCCCCTTGCATTCCAAATTGCAGTTTGAACCCCTAATGGGAAGAGTGCTTCTTGAGACCCCTTCTGATTTCCCGTCTAGGGAGGGGAGTGATAAGGGTGTCAACGAGGTTTCAACTTCTTGCTCTGGTGGTCATGCTGAGGAGGAGATCTCCTCTCCCCCTGCTAGGGAGGAGGTTCCTGTTGATGACAACACACTGGTTGAGGGTGACTAATTCTCCTTAGCTTTAGTAGAAAAGTTTGAGTTCTTTCCTAGGGTGACGAATTCGGGGGGGGGGGGGGGGGGGGGGGGAGGGGTCTAGGGTCGGCCCTTGAAGTTTCAACTTTGGGTCATTCTGTCAAGGCTCCCTTGGCATTGCCCCCTGTCTTCTCAAGTCGTACCAAGAATAGGAGATTCAAGGGCACTTCATCTTCCACCCCAAAAAGAAAAAAATTCTAATGAGACATGTCTAACCTCATTTGCTGTGCTGAGTACAATCTCGACAAGGATGACCAAGAGGCCTTGAGGCCTTGAGTAAAGAGTTCTCTTTGCCAGATTTTGTTCTACTTCAATCTCCTAAGGAGGATGAGAGATGTAACTCCACTGTCCCCAGGATGACTTGTTTCTTTGTTTCGACATTCTG